TTTTTTTTTTGACATTTTTTTAAAAAATTTTTTTAATTTAGCCCCAAAAAAAATCAACCCCCCCAAAAAAAAAAAAAAAAAAAAAAAAAAAAAAAACAATCAGAGCCAGAAGGCGGAGCTTAGTGCTGCCAATCATCCTCGTGTTCTCCATGTGCTAATGGCGGAGAGGAAACTCAACATTACAGAAAGACGTTTATCCATCGTCATCAGTGGCCATGCTGACTACATTGTGGTAAAGTAGCAGGGTGAAGAGGGTGATTAACAGCGCTAAGACCTGCGTCTGATTGGTTGGCTGTCGTTAGCGCTGGCAGAAGGCAGAGGAGCTAAATTTTTTTCACAGATTATATCTCCCATAACAAACATGGTGACAATTTCAGTAAGTAAAAAAAAATGTTTTTATCTAAAGTTACATCCTGCAGCTTTGACTACACTCACTTGGGCAGCTGCTGAAGTCTCTGATGCAGCTCCTGAGCAGAGTAGGGGTTGGAAATATCCGAAGCGATGCTGGGCGTTGGCTCCTTGCCCCCGTTCAGGAACTGCTGGGACCCAGAGATAGCCAGGTAGGATTTGCTCTTCCCAGTTTCTGCTAGGCTCTGACCTCCAGCTCCTCCTCCAACACCAGCCTGCTCCAAGTCCATGCTCCCCAGGGACTTCACTGCGGGCTGCGACTCGTTCCGCCGGTTGGACAGGTCCTGGACGGAGGCGGTGGAGGAGCGGGGGACGTCTGAGATGGAGGGCGGAGGCATGCTGGCCTCTGAGGAGACGGAGGGTCGTGGGGTGGGGGTGGGGGTGGCAGAGCTGGACTTGCGAACCTGGACGGACGACGGGGTGGAGGTTGAAGGCGAGGTTGGTATCTTTTCAAGGGACAACACCTGATGGAAATAATAATAATAAAAAAACAATTAGAAGCTCAACAAAGACGTAAAAGTTTAGAGTAAAGGTGACTGATATCCAAGGTGTTTCACCCGCAGAGCCATCTTCATCTTGAGGGTGCAGCTGGGTCCAATGGTCTTGAGGGGGAAGCGCTGGCTCAGAGTCATGTCTTCCGCCTCTAGGAGGCGGGTCAGAGGCAGATCCAGCTTCCCCAATGAGCACTCATGCTTCGTATCCTTCACCTGAAACAGGCGGGGTTAAAACGCTCAGCGGAGGGACGAGGGAAACACTCCGAGTCACAGAACACATGGAAACATCCTCACCTCCACCTCCAGCTTTTGCTTTCTTGGGTTGTGGATGAGGAAGGTGAAGTGTTCCTCCCACACTGGTTCAGTGGTTTTATATTTGATCTGGAAAAGATACAGATGAAAGACTGAGTTCAACTTTCAGAGGGGAAAACAGACGGTGAACCGTAGTTCAGACAGCCGGCTGATCTGAGAGGAAGAGCAGAGTCTGGAACAGGGCTGGTGACAAATCAACAGCATCGATTATTCAAATTTGTGGTTTTTTAAGATTTAATTTTTAAGTTAACTTTTTCTTTTTTTCATTACAAAGTCAGGGCTGCAGGATCTGACTTGAGTCTGAACACAATGAGGTTTGTTGTGGCACTGTATCGTTTTAAATCATGATTTGTCTCCGGGATTTCTGTTTTACAATACCACGACATAGTGACACTTGGTTAACTAATAACTAATCATTGCTGATGCTAATATTATGACTATATTATCTTTATCGAACAGAAGTTCTCATGGCCTGGCCTTTAGCCCACGGGAGGGATGATCGAAATAAAAGCCACTTCTTGGAAATATTTTTCCATTTTTTCTTCCAGAAAATAAAGTGAGCACAAAAACTTCTGGTGTGAAAAAATCAGAGCTTTTATTAGTTAAGTCATAGCTTTAGTCTGGACGAACAATATTCAGAACCAGAACGCTTCGCTGATGTAAAAGTTACACACATTTATTCCTTGAAATGATTTTATTAATATCATTAATAGTTGAAGTAAACCACATGTGCTCTCTCACCTTGCTGTCTGAGGACTGGTGTCCCACACTGAACTGGACCATTGGACTGGGATCACTGGTCACTTTTTTACCGGACTGCAGGAAAACAAACAGGTTTCAATGAACCAACAGGAATAATGAGAAGCTTTGATCAAAACAAAGGTTTTCCTAACACAACCTGAACAGCAATGGAGCCAATTATGTTTTCATAAAAATGAGCTCAACGTTCAGAACGGCTTCTTTTTTCCTCAAAATAATCCACTTATAAACACATAAGAGTTTCATAAGAGTAAAGAAACATTAAGTTGAGCTCATTAAGCTTTAATTTTGGGCTGTAAAAACAGAAGATTTAGAATAGAAACTTTGGGAAAGAGCAGGTAAAAGTCCCATAACCCAAAAAGTCCAGAAGAAAATCACCAGATTCAATTTGAAGAAGAAATTCAATCGTAAAGCATGAATGTAGCTCAGGCAGTAATGCTGTTATATACAACACACACTGTTAGACACAGCTTTAGTCGGGCGACATGATGGTCAGTAAATGAAAGAAGCTCTGAGTGGATTAAAACAAAACTCCTGCTGTAGCTGTGTGTCTGTGGAGGCGTCTCCGTGTTTCCTCTACGGTTCCCTTCGGTGTCTGATTTGTGTTCTCTGTTGCTGTTACCTTGATGGCCTTACTGATCGAGGCCTTCCTCAGCCCCGTCTGGTTGAACTCTAACGGATTGCGCTTTGATTTTCCCCCAGTGAAGTGAAGGCAGGAGAGAGTAACACACACAGAAACACACACACACACACACACACCGGGAGGTTAATTAGGGAAGGGGGGAGGGCATGCGGGGAGGAAGAGGAGGAGGAGAAGTTGATGAAACACACCACCACCGCCAGCATCACCAAAGGATTGGGATGCACCCAGAGTGAGACAGACAGAGACAACATGGATGATCACATGGTTAATGTCATTGCCCAGTTAATGAAGCAACAGGTAGAGCTGAATAAACAACATCCAGACAGAAAATTTACACTGGAAATAAGATTATTCAACATTTATTTGGAACAAACTGGTCAAACAGCTCCCTCTAGTGGTATTCAGAACAAAATACTGACATTAGGTAATCTACAGCAGAGGTGGGTGATATGGAATAAATATTTTATTGTGATATTTTCCTGAACTATTGTGTTAAAGATAAAAGAGACAATAAGTAATATTTATTACTTCTTTTTTAGGTAACTGTGACTGCATGACACAGCAGTCATAGCACCAAACACACACAAACAGCTCGTGGAATAATACACTTCTTCAGGAGGGCATTAAAAACTGCTCACAGTAACTGTCATTCTTTGATAGTTATTGATATTTTCATTGAACAAAAACAATAAAAACTGTAAAAGTAACACTTCTGACAATCCAAACAGTTTTTAGGATTTTTAAATGTCACTAATTGGAACTTATTAGGACAATAAATCAAAAATCATGATAAGAAGTTTATCACAATAAATGCCTACACCTAATGTGTTTTATTAGGTTATCCTGAAATGAAACGTGACAAACAATGTTTAGGATTGTTTCTGCTTTCTAAAGCACTCCACACCAAAGCAATGCACTGCTGCACTGCTTTGGTGTGGAGTGCTTCTGCTGTGATATTTAATACAAAACAAGCAAAAACCAAATGTATGTTCTGACATGAGTGCATCTGATGGCTGCGTTGTATTCTGATGTCTTTATTGTGATGTTTGGTGTGAATAAACTCTGACTCACCTTAAGGACATTAAACATAAATAAACCTCAGGAAAGGAAAATGGAACAGTGTGAACTCTGCTGGTGTTGAGCTTTCCGTTTCACACCAAGTCATATTTTCACCAGCATAGTATAAATGTGATGCTATGAGACACATGAGCAGGGCAAGATACCTGAGCGTGCATATTTTGATTTGCAGAGTTTCTGAGGAACTCGTCAAGGCAAGAGGGAAAAACTGAACACACAATGACTTCAAACCATAAACTGCATATAAAAGATGGACAGAACCCAACTGGTTAAAATCAGCATTTCCTCTGATCACCAGCGGGGGCCAACAGCTTCAGCTGCAGAAGTTGGTCTCACTGCATGTTGTTACCTTCATGTTTAACCTCAGAGACATGGAGTGAGGTCAACGTTGCAACGGCTGAAAAGCTGAACTTGTCCATCTTTTACTGTACAAACAGTTTAAGGGAAACCAGGGATGATGAAGGGAAGCAATCCAAAAAACACAATTTGCCTTCACTGCTCTGAATACCTCCCCAACTAAACATGCATGACTCCTTCCTAATTAGCTTAAATACCTAACACTGTGCTTTACAGCAGCATTTACAGGCCATAAACGTCACATTTTGCCACGCTACAAACCCAAACATCAATAACGTGTGTTATTTGAGATTTTGTGAGATAATTCAACACATTAATGTAAAATAGATGGAAAAGAATATATGGGTTTCAACATTTTATGCAAAAAAATCTGATGTGTGTCATATGTATGCAGCCCCAGTGAATTAATACTTTGCAAACCCACCTTTAAATGTAATTACAGCTTCAGGTTTTTATAGGTGTGTCTAAAAGCTTTGCACATCTAGATAATAACATTCGTAAGTGTTGGCTAATTATTGAAGCACCAAACCTTCAGGCTCTTTTCACCACAAGTATATTCAGTGACACAAAAAATTAGGAAATTCAAAGAGATGGTTACATCAATTAGAAACTACAGCTTAGTTGTTTTATAGAAGAAGTCAAACAGAAACAACTTTTTACTTTAAATCAGTGATGAATATTATTATTTTTTAAATATGTTTTTCAATACTTACTGTCTGATGATGATGTTTGCTATGAACCTAAAGCAGAATACAGCAACACTTAAGTCGTATTCAAAAATATTACTTCATATTGCATGTTTCCCTATAAAATAAATTACATTTTTTAGATTTTTTCTTTTCAAAATATAACTTTTAGCTTTATGGCTGTAATGTGACAAAATGTGGAAACATTTAGCATTTTGTTTAATTTTATTTTGAAAGGTAATAAGTAGAAATTGATCACCTGCAGTCAAGCTTCCATTGACTATAAAACTAACTGGTTGTAATGTCTCTTTAAAGAGATATACTGACTGCATAGAACCGTTTCTGGTTGAGTCGTCTACACAGATGCAGACATGTTAATCCCTCTTGTCCTCTTAACTTTCCCATCAACCTTATGTCACAAATAGCTAATGATGAGTTTTTCTTGCAAAGTAAAAATAAAAAAAACAACCTCACCAATAAAAATTTATGCTTATTTAATGAGGATGTGCATGCAGAGGTTTAGCAGGAAGACTGCCACTAAATGTCCTAACGTATAAAGTTTTCTCTGTTTTTGTGTAAATTTTTGATGCATTTTATGTCCCATCCTTTCCTTTCGCTTTTGGAAACCCCAACAGAAACTTTACCAACGTATAACGGTAAGACAAGGATTCAAACCCATGCACTGGAGAGGATTCATGCTGTTCAGGCAAAATGGGGCATAATCACTCTTCAGCATTCCTCATACTGCTCTAAGATGCAGAGATCAGCTAGTGGACTCACAAACAAGGTCCTATAGAGAGAAGAAGTGTTCTCACAGAACACGAGGCCCGCCGAGCGCCTCTCTTTTAAGTAGCCTGAACCCAAGTTCCCCTCGAAGACGCTCTTCAGAGCAGCGAGGAGGCACGGAGGAGGAGGAGAAGAAGAAAAAGCAGAGGAGGCTGAGAGGAGACAAGTGAAGTCTGTGCTTGATCTGAACCACTACAGACAGATGTGTGCTTGCTAATAAAACAGAGTTCCTGTTTTCACTCTCAAACTAAACTCAAACTAGTCTCAAACACGGGTAAGGTGTCGTAATTTTACAAGTTTAAATCTTTTGTAAATAACTCAAGAATTTGTTGAATGTGATCAGTTGAAAAAGCTGCACATCAGACAGCATATGAATGTAAATAATACAAGTAGAAATACATAAGCGATCATTTATTCTGTAGAAAATAAAGTCAAAACGAGTAGAAATATTAATATTAGAGACGCACCGATGGCTAACATGAGTTATGCTTCTCTATATGTTTACTTACTGCATTGACAGAATAAACACCAACAATAGTTTTGGAAGTTTAGTTGAAGCAATCAATCAAATTAACAGAATAAAACCAATTAATTTAAATGGATATGTCAGATTTGCAACTGCTTCACCTTTTAGGACAAGATGGAAAATAGAGCGAGAGAAAAGCAAGAAAGTAGATGAGAGAGATTACATTTATCTATCATTTTTAACTTTAAATAAATGTAAACAAACAAAAAAAGAGAAATCAAGACTGCTTACGGTTTCACAATATTCCTAAAAAATTAGAACACTCCAAGCCTTAAAAACTGATTCATTAGTTCCACTTAAAGCTGGTAAAACCTAAAATCAGCTCCGTTGATTATAAACCAACTGACTCACCGACAGGTTTCTGGCCGAGTCCAGGAAGACTACGAGCACCGCAGACGACGGCCCGTCGGGGGCGCTAGAGCCGTCCGCCCGGATCTGCAACAGCGCCTGCAAGGGAAGAAGAACAAATCAGATCAGAGAGGCACTTTTCCTTCATATGGGACCTGAACCAGAGTCTGGTTCTGACCAGAGTCTGGACCTGAACCAGAGTCTGGGTCAGAGTCTGGACCTGAACCAGAGTCTGGTTCTGACCAGAGTCTGGACCTGAACCAGAGTCCGGACCTGAACCAGAGTCTGGACCTGAACCAGGTTCTGGTCCTGAACCAGGTTCTGGACCTGAACCAGAGTCTGGACCTGAACCAGGTTCTGGTCCTGAACCAGGTTCTGGACCTGAACCAGGTTCTGGACCTGAACCAGGTTCTGGACCTGAACCAGAGTCTGGTTCTGGTTCTGTTTGGAAGTAAAGCTGTGCCGTTCTACCTGGTCCAGCTTCTCAGGTGAGGGCAGCAGACACAGCCACTCCATCTTCAGGTGCAGCTTCCCTCTGCCACCATCTTCCAGATCGAACCACTAAGAGGACGGAAAAGTAATCAATACTCAATACCTGATTGTTTTCCTGCTCAGGCTGGGAGTATCTACTACATTTTTAATATAAATCTTAAAGTTTCTTAAGAAAGCTACAAAAACCTTATTTAAAAGCATTTTTTTAAATCGCACAACGGATAAAGACTATAACTGGACGCCTTAAAAAAGCAAAGTCAGTAACAAAAATCGAAAAATGCTGTCTCTTTATTATTATGGAAATTATTTCAACCAATATTTTATATTTTTCTATTATATTTCTTCACATCTCACCAAGTTAATCTTAAGAGTCTTTTGTAAGACTCTTAAGATGTAAAAAAAAAACTTTTTTTTTTTTTTTTTACATTAAAAAAGTCATAATTAACACGTATTAACGTTCTGGTTTATGGTTTGTTCCATAAACCATAGTGATGGGAAACGTCTTAAGTCTAGAAAAATCTAAATATTTGACAACAAAAACCTCATTGTTGTTGAGTTTAAGCAGCTTTGCATCTTTCAAAGCATTATAAACAATTTTAACAGAAAAAAAGAAAGAAAGAAGAATTTTCCCTTGCAAAAACGCTTTGCAAATTCAACAATTATTACTAAAAACTATAAAAAATAATCACCTCCTCCACACTTTGTTCCTTCTTGAGTTCAGCCAAGTCGATCATCACACTGAAACACAAATCGTAAAAACACGTTAGCTTAGAAAGTTTTACAGAAGGACAAATGCTTTTTTTTAGCTTTTATGCACCGTGTGCAAAATTATTTGTCGTATTGTTTACAATTTAATGTGAAAAATGTATTGTGACAATTAATGTTAAATAAAACTGCCTTAAATGTTAATTTTGCCATATTCTCCACTGTTAGAAAATATCACTAAAAATGTTGTGGTCAAAATACTCGCTGACGTAATAATTGTGCACACAGTGTTAATGAAAGGCAGTTTTTATGTAGCTCAATGTTACTGTCAGTGAAACAAAAAGAACCTACTTTCCCAGTCTGTCATCTTCATCTGGGTCTTCATCAAACAGTTCAATTTCCATCATCTTTGCCGTGTTATCGTACATCAAGAACTGAAGAGCAACACAAAAACAAACATTAATGCTTAAATGTCTGCTACAAACTTCCTGAATTACCTACAGACTGGTAATTTAAAAAACCACTAAAATGGGTTTTTAAAAAACCCACTAAAAATCAACTGATGAACATCAACTACAATCGATATGTACATCCTACATAAACATCTTCAGTTTACGGCACAACTAAGAGCAACTACGAGCAAATCCTTGAAAAAGAAGGCAGGAAACTGAATCACCTCATGGACCTCGTTCCATCTAGGATTGACCGTCTCTTTGATGGTTTTGCTCTTGACTTCCTTTGTGCCGAGCCGGATGAGTCCATATGGGTCGGACTTGCCCTTGATTCCCAGGAACCTGTCCTTGCCCAGTAGGTTCTGGGCCTCAATGAAGTGGATTCTTACCACGGCCTTAGGAGTGAAAGACAGAAGTAGATGAAAAGTGGTTCTCAAATGCATTAAGCGTGTAACCTGCTACATTTTTAGATAATTTGCTTTCAGTTTCCACATTGTTCTCCGACATTGTCACTGTGGGTCATTTCACAGAGGTCAAAGGTCAATCTTTGCCTCAAACAGAGGAGTTGAAGATGTACCTACATTAATGTTGTCTGGTAACAATCTAGTAATGTTATATTTGATTGAAATTAGTTCCAGTAGATTAACAAATAACGTCTGCTTTAATCTTCTGTTAGTGTTGTAGTTTGGTTTCTGTTCAGCAGAGGGACACGCTGGTCCCTAAGAGGAGCCAGTTGATACAGAAATAAAGATGGCGGGGCCATAACAGAATGGGAAAAAGGAACGGTTCAAACAGGATCTGATTTGGGTTGCAAAGTCAACTTTATGTGGCTTTGTTATGAAATATAAACACTTAAACTCCTTAAAGTTTTACCTTAATGGCGGAGCAGCGACAACTTCTCAACCAAAAATTACTGATGAACAACAGAGACACTTCCACACACCTCTCCATTCATGGGGAATTAAAGGTTTCTCATATTTTATTCTTTTTATATTTTATTTTTCGTTTCAGCAACCTAAGAGGTTTGTGTTTTGTTATATTTTATAAATGCTTAAGATTAATTATGTGAGAAATCACAATTTTATGTCTGTTATTTAATACAACTGACAAAAATAATGTTGAAATTTTAGGGTTTTTTTTTTTAACTCAGCCATTTTTTAAACTTAGCCCTTTATGGTATGAAAAAACCATACGATGGCACTCTTACAAAACAAAACTCAGATTTTTAAGAGAAAAAAAAATCAACTTTATATTAACTTTTCAGTCTATGACTTGCATCCTCATCTGTGTGTCTGTATGAAAAATGAGATAATATTTGACATTTTGGATCCAGAACGTAGAAGAACTGTGTGTACCAGGAGAGTTTCCCTGGCTCAGAGTGAGTGGTACCTCTGGAATAGGGAAGCGGATCCTGGCCAGTTCAGTCGCTCCCACCAGAGGGATGTTGAGACGGTTCGGCAGCACCAGGTAGCTGTAGATGATGTCCTGGATGAGGCCGTCGCACAAACCACTGCAGGCACAGAAACAGAAAATAAAGTAAGATTTGAGTAGAAAAAAAATTAACCTGTTGCAAAAAAAATTAAACAGAATCTAGTTTATTTAACAACATTATTGGACAATCATTAACAACTTAGCAGATCGCCTCCATGCCAGGCTACTTTCATGTTGACATTCAGGCAAAAGGAGCCCCAACCAAGAACTGAGTGCATCTATTCTGCAGTATGAGGACACACGATTCAGTTAACTGACATTTCTGCATTACAAATCATTTTATTTATGATTTTATATAATATTAAACCTAGCTGTAACTGTGAACCGAGTAGTCCTGGGTTCTTTCTGCATGGAGTTTGCATGCTTTAAATTAACATCTGATTACTAAATTAGTGTTATTTGTTGGTGAATTAGCTGTAATGACCTATTTCAAGACATAGAGGCTTGGAAATTTATTTTTAATTTATAGCAACAATTTGCACCAATTCTGATGGTAAATAACAGATTAAAAACATTCATGTTGGTGACCTCATATGCATATCTATTCAATAATTCAGCAAGAAAAAAGTGTTTTTAATAAAAAATGTTCCTTATTTTGTCAGTATGTGGTTTTATATTCAAATGTAATCAATTACACACCCTGAAATTAATCAAGTCCTACCACAAATTAGTATATATATTCTAATTTACTGAGCTACAACGTTAATATGTATTCCACAAACCATCTCCTGACATTTCACCAGTTTTCCTGTAGGTGGCAGCAGAATCCTGCCTCTGAACACCTAAAGTTCCCACTGCAGTGGGTTAATCTGGGTCAGTTTGCACCAAAAACAAGATACAAGTATTTTTTTATTTTTTTTAAAAAGTATCATAACAATATGATTACTAAATGAAGTACTAAATATTTTCAGACAAAATATTTACAAATTTTGGAAATATTTTTTACAAAATTCTGCAACCTCTCCATGCATTCATAAACATTGATATTTTCAAGCATCTCATTATTTTCTCCATTATAGACATGATTATCACATTTTGATCTTTTGGGGATGAAATGTTATTGACTGAACATGGCTTCACACACGCATGGGGAGGAGCAGGAGGGTGTGGCGAGGGCTGATCAAAGCACGAAGTGCAACACACACACACCCACCCACACACAAATAAATAAACACGCAGCAAGTGACTTCCTTCAACCAGTTCAACAAGTGAAACAACATTTCACTGGGTGGAATCTTTCAGAGCGAATCTCTGCCTGAAAACAGAGGAAACAAACACAGGTCTACACAGGGGCGACGTCTCACTCACAGCAACCTTCTGTTGCTTTAAGGGTAAATTCATTTTTCTCAAAATTTGGAAGAAAACACATAAATAAACCGTCCGCCGGTCATTTTTCAGGTTTGCATGAAAGGTTTGCCGGTTTGCATGAAGTACGACAGAACCTCGCAGTGCACAGCATGGATGTCAGTCATGCATCCACAAATTTGGATATATAATATGGAAGGGCCGTAATACGTCCTTCCATTTCCCAACCACATGTTGATGCAGCTATCAGGTAATTTCCTGGTTTTGAGCGTTGCCTCATACCTGCCAGCCTCTCTGTGTGAGTGGGTGGAACCACTCCTAAATACTTGTTTTCCCCACAGCTTGCATGTCCAGCAGAGCAACCAGATGATCGGGTTTCGGATTGACACCTAATGTACATCAGGAGGTGTGAGAGACTAAGGCGTGCGATTACGTGTGAATGAAAAGAGGCTTTAGTTAATGTGTTTAGCATAATCAGGACAAACCTTCAGTTTTTAAAATCCTTGAAGGTTATTTACTCACAAAGAATAGGAAGCTAAAAGTAGCCTCTCATTGTGGAGGTTTTAGAGTTTATTTACTACTGGAGAACCAAGAAAGAAAAAAAACAATGTAAAGATATATTTCCTTAAGGTAAACTACAGAGTTGCTCTCTCTGCTGCTTTTGAGTAAACAGATAAACAGTCTAAATAGGTATTTAGGGTTCTATCATTGTAAACATTTTTGTGTAAATGTGTTTCGTTTCGCATTATTTTGCCTAAAACCGCCTCAGTGCTGCCCCCTTTGGTCAAACAGCAGGATGGCTGTTAGGACAGATGTTTACTTACTTAACACCTGGAATGTCCAACATGTTCGTGAGTCCCGTCCAGTTGATGTCCAACATCTGGAAGACAGAAAGTCAGCATCAGTTTAATTTGATAAAATAAAAAATAATCACCACAAAAATCAGGAAAAGATAGAGAGGAAACATTTTCCAAGTATATAACATAATAATTAAATGCGTCTATAATAGTTTGTGCAGGTTAGGATTATTGATTCACTCATTCAGTTCCACATAAAGCTCAAGATACTAAAATTCTAATAAATACAACAGCATTTGATGTTACTTTGTCCTACATTTCAGATTGTATCAAAGTTCTTCAGGCTTGAGTATAGAAATATCTGGCAACCCGATGTATATTAGAGGTTTAACAAGCTTTTACTCTTTGAACTTGAGTGCCTGTAAAAACCAAACAGAGCTGCTGCATGTATAAACTGAGACACTATTTGATCGAGAGTAAAAGTTGATTTGAGGGAGATTTCTCCTCAGCTCCTCGCTGCCTGCAGTGAGTCAGCAAACAGCAGCTGAGGAGCCAAGCTTTTAATTCGATCGATGTGCTAATCAATACAGGAGGGCAGCTCAGGTTCACAGACAGGAAGCACATGATGAAGGGTAAATCCAGTTCTGTCTGCAGATGTTAGTCCAACTATGACAAGAAGTTAAAATAAAGATCAGCGTAACAATAATGTAATTTCTTCTGAAAGTTTCAGACTATCATAATTTAAGGTGGGACTTCATCTGTGGACGCCTCAAACAGAAAATAAAAATCCTCATCAAGTTCAGCTGCAGTTTTAATTCTCTTTAGCAAGTTGAAAACACCCAAAACTTCATCCAGATCCATAAATCCTGCCTATAAAATCCGGCCACACCTCAACATCTGCAGAGAAAAACTGGGTTTAACTCTGACAGAACTTTAACTTAGGTGCTGCTCCAGCTTGTTCTCGTTTGCATCACAAGTTGCCAATTATCTCTGATGATGAAACCAAATGCTGAAAAGCTGCAACATGATCCCTCACTCTGCACAAAACAAAGGTGTTTAAACAGCTGCCATCTTGTTCAGAGCTTATTAACCTGCTTCTCTAACCTAGTTACTGAGCCTTTATAGGAACCTAAACTGGGTCATCTGGGAGGAGGACTGGTTGAAATCCTGCAGGGGGAAAGTGACCTGTTTGAAGAAAAAGAAAAGATTAACAGCAAACAGTTCTTCCTCTGCTCCACCTTTTCCAGGTTTCAGTTCAAGTGACGGGTTCAGAGAAAAGTGATCGCCCTTCCCAGGGAACCCTGGAGGTGAAACAGGCAAATTACCGCAGACACGCCTGCATCCAGAGGACTGTCTGCTGTAAACTCATCAAAACTCAGTTTGGAACAATGCAGATGTCATTTCAGTTAAGAAATGTCATAGTAAAAAAAAAAGGTGTGGTTCAGCAAAAGACAGAAAACACCAGAACTACACGCCTGATGGACTCCAGAGTTAAACTGAACAGAGTTTCCATTGACCATATAACTCTGCAATATTGGAATTACTAAAGTTAATCTGCTCAATAGAAACACGCCAATTTCTACAAAAAAATTTCACGTTTTCAATAAAAAGTTTTTGCGGTAGCATTAGGTGCTTTTTCAGCTGTATATAAATTAATATACACTGCTCAAAAAAATAAAGGGAACACTCAAATAACACATCCTAGATCTGAATGAATGAAATATTCTTATTGAATACTTTGTTCTGTACAAAGTTGAATGTGCTGACAACAAAATCACACAAAAATCATCAATGGAAATCAAATTTATTAACCAATGGAGGCCTGGATTTGGAGCCACACACAAAATTAAAGTGAAATGTTCCCTTTATTTTTTTGAGCAGTATATTTTGCAAAGCTGCAGTGGAATCACGCAGAATGAGGAAAATAGAGAGGAAGTTGAACCATTTACCCATACTGATCCCTTTTTTCCATTTTTTTTTTCCAAATTTGAAAAGCAAACTCTAGAGCAGGCCTGCAGTGTTTCAGCCACCAGGCTGTTATTCGGTTCCTGGTTCAATTCAGAACCGGTGATCCGACCCTAACAGGAGTTTGAGTCAGGTGACATTGTTGGCATTTTTGTTGAGAGACCTAATAATACAGAACCTCACTGCTTTATCAGCTGTCTGATTATGTTGTGAGAGATAAGAGAGACAAGTCTGAATGTGTGTCAGTTCAGAGATAAGAAGAGGCAGTGAAGCTTTAAAAGCTTCACCGTCACAAAGAATAGACGGTGAAAGATGTTACTGGGGATCAAAAAATAAAAGCAGGCAACGAAATTATGAAAAAATTGTAAATGTGTAAAAGTCTGCCAGTGTTTGCTTCTATCATGCTGTTGAGAAAAATTACACTAGCTGGCATGAATCTGTGGTTTTAGAAGTAGGCCAGCTTCACCACAGCGCAGCAAACCCAGACTGGCTCAGGAAGAGGAGAAAACAGATGGGGGATTCCACAGAACAGCAGAGGAAATACTACAGCTAGCGACCCGTTCACGTCAGGCCCAGACCGCGCAGTCACAGTCAAATATAACCAGAACCATGGATGGATTCTGCAGGGCAGTGGGGCTGGATTTTTCCAGGACACATTAAAACTGCAGCAGGCTTCACTTTAACAGTGAAAGCAGATGACAGTCGCTGTGTTTCCACCAAATGTTTTTTTTAATTCAGTGTTGCATTAGGAAAGGTTGATGGAAACGGAAAAAATCTAAATCACTTCCTCAATTTTGGAAATAAGGAATGGAAAAAAAAATTATGTTTGCTTGAGGTGGCTTTTGACTTTTCCAACAAAGAGTTAATCCACTGAAGAGGAGATGGAAACACATCAGCTGAATTAGTTCAGATGTAGCGAACTTCACCATCCACTGCCAGGTCTGTGCCTTACCAGAGGCACAAGACTCTGTTTCTTCCTCCCTGCTGTGGAGCAGAGGAAATACTGCTCCACAGCGGTATTGTGTGGAGCAACCTGGAGTCCAGACTTCCAGGCTGTGGGACAGAAATTGAGACAGAAATCTCAATTTTTCTGACATGTGTCCTCCATGCTAGTTTGTAATTTCTACATTTAACTTATTACAGCCATGCTTGGAGTCACAATCTGGTGAAATTATCTTTGCGTTGCTTGATTGATTCGTTCCAAACCAGTAGATGGAAACACACCAAATTAGACTGGAGAGCGCTTCAGTTTTTGGTGCAGCGCCCCCACAGGCGAGGAGGGGAACAGGTTGCTCAAAGGGTTTGGTTGGTTTGAACTGCAGCAGCTGAAAATGTAACAAATGTAGCAATCAAAGAGATAAACTGGTTAAACGTTGGCTTCCTGGTGAGTCGCTGTCACACCACAGCTGTAATATACTGAAAGCTCAGCATCCTGTCACAACTCACCAGGCTCACAGGGTGGAGCAGAGAGGAAGAAACAACACCAACAACCAAATAACCACAAACCAGCAACACTGCACTGCGGCTGACGGCTTGTGCTTCAGACTGATGATGGAACATCAGCTACCGGGCTGTTTGATTGTGTTGATTGAGGCTTTACAGTCACCATCTGCAGTGAAACTGTTCTTGCATCATTAGTGTTTAAGTCTAAAACTGCAGTTTTGTGGCTTTCAGTTTAGAAAAGTCTCACAGAGATGAGTCCAGTGACAGTATATGATGAGCACTAAATCTCAAATTCAGCATATTGCATGAGTGCAATCTGCTGAAACCCACACTGGTGCACAATTTCATCAGCTGAAGGTGTTATTTTGAGCAGAGTGTGAAAAAACTGTTGATTTTAGCAGAAAACTTCATATGACCAACTACATGTGTGAATTATGTGTAATCATACTCTGATTATCTCAAAACATTTAGAACCCAGAAAAATAAAACAAAAAAAGAGATAAAATGTAGGTTAAATTTCATAAAAGAAGGAAAAAAAAATCTCCAAGCGGCTCCTAAGTTGAAGTTTCTACTGTTGGATGAAGGGATGATGGGATAATGTCTTGTTTGTGTTTAGAGCATCTTGATGATGCTTGTTTTCCTCTGGGTGATTCTATCAAACCCTGGATCAGGAAGATAAACCGTTCTGGACCACAAGAAGGAAGACTGCAGTCAGGAAGTGAGGACACAGATAAAGAAAAGATGGAGAAGAAGAGACTCAAGTTGAGTTCAGCCTTCTCCAAAAAGACATCAAACATTAAAGGAAAATTCATCATTTTTTGGATAATTTGTGTCTAGAAAGCAGGTTTGCATTCCTGAAGTGGTCAAACAATGTTAACTCATTTCAACCTGAGGGAGGGAGCATCACAGTGTTATTTAAACTCTGTCAAAGTGAAAGTTATCAAAGACTGAGAGGAGGTATCAAAGTACTCACAGGTTTTTTGAGGAAAAAGACGGACAGGGCTCCGATCAGAGGCATGTCCCCCAGGAGAGGCTCCATCACCACCCTCAGCATGCCATGAAGCTGCAGACAACAAAACATCGTCAAACTGTTTCTGCTCAGGAATTATCACCAAATACTGTTGACTTCTGGAGAACACAAGTCCTATTTATAATAACTAGGTCTGAATTAAGTCTCAGAGTTTGCTGCTATTCCCCTTGTAGAGGCTTTATTAGAGCAGATTGTAGAGTAAGACGAGTTGCATCTGATCTGCTTTTGCTGATTCAAATATTGATATTTATTTGACCAAAAACTGCAGCAACACAGAGAATTCTTTATGAAGCTGGAAATACAAAACATCCCCTTTTTTGTTCCCTTCTTTGTACTTTGTGGCTTTATCGGCATCCATTTCTCATATAATTCACATATTTTCTGTAACAGTTTATTAACTTTCAAAGTCTGACAGCAAGAAGCCAAACCAGTTGCATTGAGGGATATTGTTTTCTTCGTGCTGCTGTGAGTCAAACCTCAGTCATGTAGACTGCATGTCTGCAGCACCAAATTTGGACATAGCTTCTTGCTCTGAGCAATCAAAGAGCACTTTGCTCATCAAAATCAGTCTGGTGAAAAAGATTGAAGATAGGCATTAGTTTTGTTTATGTCCGTTTCCTCCTGCAGCTCACTGCTGCCTGAAAGAGGGCGCTTTATAAATAATGTGCAACCTTATAATGCAGTCCCACCAGGACGCAGGAGAAGTCTATAAATAAAAGATGCGACACAAGTGAAGAAAATAATGACTCATGGCTTATTCTTATGCTGAGAATAATCCAGTCAAGTTTGACAGGCGATGAAAAGCATCCATAGAAACTTTTATTGCAGCTGTGAAATGAACATACGAGGCAGACCCGGACTGAGCTGCTGAGAAGCGGCAGTTTCTCTTCTCCCTGCTGATCTCTGAACAGCAAACATGGCCTGATCGCATGCCAACGGCTGAGTGGATAACGTCTGCTTTATCAGACGCGAGTCAACACATTATGTAAAATTCTCTCTGAGGGGGTCACAGATTATTGCAGGGGTCACAGCTAAAGGAATGAAGCAGAGCACAGTCCTGACTGACTGACAACACGAGTAATGTGGGACAACAGACTGCACAGCTACAAGGCAGAACATAGTTTTAATTTTAAACTTAAAAAATAGTGGTGGGACTCAATTCTAATAAAAAAAAAAAAAAAAAACTTGACAAAATAAGCAATTACTTTCAATTCAAAAACCCTTTTTTCTGCTACATTTTTGAATAAGTATACATCTGAGCTCAGCAACAAAGATATTTATTGTTTTTATTTTATTACTTATATCGGTGGAAAGTGCTTTGTCGTCCATTGCTGTTATTTGCGGATGTTGCTTGTGCGTCAGATTTATGGGCGTACCAGAAAGCCGTACTTTAGCGTAAAAAAATATTTTTGAATGAGTCAAAACCTATGTAATTAATTAATCAAAACTAACACGTTATAGTCAAAGGAAAAAATGACTTAAGAGCATCTTTTCTATCTGTAGACCTACAAATATTTATTATGTTGACTGAAAATATTAATATTTACCACAGTTCATTTTCTACTTCTGCTTAAGATTCATTATATGTCCAAACTGTACAGGAACCTTTTCTCTTAAATATATTTTACGTTTCACAACACAATGAACTTTTCTTTGATGTAAACTGTGATTTCTGAGTTATTTATAGAGACTTTTAACGGAAAGTTTTAAAAACAAATCAGTCATACCTGTATGCTTTTGATTCCAGCCCTGCAGTAAAACTTCTTGATGTCGATGTCGATTTCTGTGTTACCAACAAAACTAAAAGTAAAAACGGGAGAAAAATGAGCAAATTAAACCTGTTAATAGACAAGACAGTAGCTAAGGGAAATAGATATGCTGTGCTTTTTTAACAGAGATAACAAAAAGCAAAAATAGTTATTAGTGAAATAAGTGTTGCCTTCACTTTTGTTTCATGTCATATAACTTCAGGCCTACTGGCCTTTGATTTTACACCAAGCTGACTTTAATCTAAATTTATTGGGATTGATGTTCTGTTTAGTTTTACTCTGCTGCAGACTGGTTGTAAGGATCTGCAGGCTGCATTTCTGCTGTTAAAACTACAAAAGCAAAATACAATCTTGTGTCTGCAGCATCATGGTGAGTTTGTGAGTGTAGGAGGGAGAACTACCTGATCTGCAGGTCCATGATGACCTGCCTCTTGTCCACATTTTCTGTGTAAACCTTCACCCCGTTCACTCTGAGTGGCTGCACACACACGCACACACACGCAAAGAGAAAACAAAAGGTGAATGTGAGCAAATTATTTCTCAGATGTGAGGAACAGTTCTCAGCTCAGGCCAATAATCAGCAGCTTTTCTTAAGAGAGTCTGCTTCTGAAAGCTTCTGATGTTCAGCAGCACAAAACAAAAATAGAAATGCAACAACAGAAACATTAAACAGCGACTGAAGATTTGAAACAGTTACTGTTTATTTTAATGTAAGAAACAATTCAAAGTCTCTGCAGACCGCTGGAATGCCTTTAATCTTCTCTGATGTTTTGAATACAGAGAGGGAAAAAAATCAAGAAAGTCAGAAGAAAAATAAGATCTTTGGTTCTGCAGAGTAGAGCACAGAATAATTCAGCTCTATATGAAGTTAATCTTTTTACAAACTTCCAAAATGTAAGAAAAACATAGAAACAGCTCACTGTATTACATAGACAGGTATCAGAAATGTAAATATCCAGTTTATGTTTTCTACTGGACATATTTTTGTAAAAATCAAAAGAATCTGAGGGTATGATCTATAAATCTGATCTAATAAGATTCTGACGACTGACATGAACTTCACAAAACCACCCAGAAGAAACAAAGCTTTCGCTTTAGGGTGATATTAACTGGAATCAGTGAGCAGAGTGGTGACTCCGATGTTTTCAAGCCTGACTGTTTGCTCCCTACCTTGTCTCCCATGTCGACCTTGGTGAAGCAGAAGGTGCTGAGATGGGGGTTGGCTCCCTTCACAGCCGGCTCGATGGTCTCCCTGAACAGTTTGTCCACAAACTGGCAGATGAACGGCCACATCTGCTTCACCGTCTGAAGCAAAGCAGAGAGAAAAGGAAAATTAACTCAGAAGGAACCTTTCTTCAGCCCTAATATTCACATCCAATCCTGTTCCACCCCATTGATTCTCAGTCACATGTTTTTTTTTCTTCCACAACAAACAGAAGCTCCACAGTAAGAAGCAGGCACTACACAATATGCACAGTAGCTTCTTAATGTGCCATTTTCTTCTTTTGCAATCATGTTCAATATTGTTTTGGTCTGTTACATGAAATCCTAATCAAATAGATCAAAGCTTACAGATTTAACATGACAAAAAGTGGAAAACTGCAAGGAGTGTGAATACTTCAGCACAACTTTGTATGTTTGTAAGTGCTTTGATGATTTACTTTGACATTTATAAAATAAGTTAATTAGTTTTAATACCTTTCATCATGCAATTTGCACCTAACTGTTCATAACAAATACATGGAAGAGTCCAATAATGTTATTGATAGAAAGTTTTAGCGTTTAAGGTTCTAAGGCATGTCTGCACTTACTGGGTGGAAGAAGAAAAACAACTAAATCGTGAACACTGAAGTTCTCCCAGTCCCCACTCTGTCATCCTGCAGGAACATCTCAGGTAACTTCTGCTAATGGTGTGATTTAAGGAGCACAGATTACCTTTTAAAGGTCCTGGAAATCTCCTCTGAGTGCTTACACAACATGTATAATTTAGCATCACCATCAATTTGAGTGTTTGGGTGCTGATCATGTAATATTCTGGAAATAAACAGTGACAGTCAGCGAATGTCTTCCAGGAACTGATCAGATTCTCATGTCTCTGTAACTGGGACGGGGTCCCTCAGGGCTCTAGGATCGGATCCCTTTTTAAACCCTCTCTCACCACTTTGGCTTGCTAATAAGAGATGACGAGGAGTAACTGGTGGATGTCTGTGTGTGCTGGAAACAAAAAAAACAACAACAGAAGCTTCTATCGGTACCTTATTGAGCCACTCCACTCGCTCCACATCTGGGTAATGAACCTGGAAGGAAACAGAAAGGTTAAAGTTAGAATCAGTGAACTGCTGGTCCTTACTGGACCTCAACTCTTTAAAGTCTCTGTCTCAATATTTGTTGAACTCATCTGAGTCCCAAGACTTAGTGACTCTATTCACATCTGGCACCAACATCTGTTCCAGACAATCCGACACACTCCAGACGTTTTGATGACGGTTTCCCTCCTGCTACCGTTGGAGGAGAACTAACGCACCCGATCCGTATCAGTTCAGCAGTCCAAACGCTAAAACGTTAAAATGCCCCCCACTGACCTGACTAAACAATGCCGCAAATACATTTGAAGCAGAAAATATTGAGTTTTAAGTTGCAAGTTCTAGAAAAATTACTATCTCCTTTCGCTAGAATTTAAAAGTAGAATCCAAATCCTAACCAGTAGGTTTTATTGTGGTATGTAGTCATGATGCTCAGTTGACAGCTTGCCTAATCATAGAACCCTCCCAAAAAAAACATTGAGGTTCAGCGCCGGGGCTTGTGGGATATCTGTGACAACTGAGACAGGCTGATCACGCTTCCAGAGCCTCACAGGCTGCCTGTGCAGCAGCGGACAGCCAGGAGCGACACGGCTGTTACATAACGCACACACTCTGACAGGAGCCTGCACAAGTTTATGTTTATAAGTGAGAAGAAAAATTGTATTTATTTAAAAACACCAACGTCTCCACACAACCGAGATGCAGCTGGGCTTTTCTGTCTTCACTTCAGCAATCAGCACAGACAGACGACATATCAGCCGATGGTTGTCATGTTTTATATTAATAACCGAAAGTTATTACCATCTTCTTTCTGGGATTTTCAACAGAAATTATAAAGGATAATTGTTCTTAAAGCTGCCAGTAATGATTATATTAGTAATCCATCCCTCTGATGATGATAGGTATTGGATAAGGAAAAAAAATGGGCACAGTCAGCAGATTTTTGATTTAAACAGTTAAGTTTTTTTTTTTTTTTCATTTTTGCACAACATTAGGAATACATAAAAAGATGCATATAAACAAATGATTCAAACCCCTTTTAAAGGAAGAAAATTAATATTTTATTGCCTAAACTGAAATAAAATAGCACACATTCAGTGAATCTGAATCAGATAAGGATTAAACTATGCCGCTTGAGTAGTTTTGGATAAAGTATATTTGCAGACTAAGGCGTTTATGTATGTATATATCACTGCTTTGGCTTAATTAGTTGATTATTGCAACAATCAATTCATTCCGATTAATCTGATTAATTGTTTCAGCCCTAATTGTTTTGTAACTGTATTTTCTTCTGAGGTGTAAAGCGTAGTAAAAGGTAAAAATCACATAATGTCTCAATCACAATCACCTTTGATAATGAACAGAAGAAAGATTTTATGAAAAGTGACTTTGAAGCATAAATTAAGGTTGATATTCCTGAAGTCAAAGTTAATTATCTGCTGTTTTTTTTACCTACTTAAAACTGTTAATTGGGCTGTAAGTATACAGGTTGGACTTTAATTACTTTACATATAATACATAAATAAAACAAGCTGCTGCATGAATCCTCTCAGGCTAACAGGCTCCGTGACCCAGAGCGACACATGAGGTCAATCAGGAAGTACATGCAGTGTGACTCACATGCACAAAGTCATGCATCCAAAACTTAAAACAACCTCACACTGATGATGACATCATCATCATCACATGGTGAATATTTCAGAAATTACATACTAGCCTTTCAAGTTTATTGTGATGTAAACAAAGAAAGCATAGAAACGATTTAATTGTAAATCATCTATTCATATGGTATAGAATTGAACATAATACAAGTTTGTTGAACTTGTAAAGGAAAACATCTAAATGTAACTGTTGTTAAATTGGTATTTATGCAATAATTATGTATCAGGAAGTGGGATGGAAAGCTCACTAAACAGCTGAATGTTTTACAAAAAGCCAAGCAGACCTGAATATACAAAGCTAAAGGAAGAAGAAAATAATTAGTTCTCATTAAATCCAACTGACTCCAAGAACACAGGGAAGTCAAACATGAGGTAAAATGCAGCTAAATATGCAAATGAAACACAAATTCCTGTGTGTTGTGACAGCGTGTGTTCCTGGAGGTTTATTAAAGGTTAAACATGAGGGGAAGCTGCTGCAGAAATGTTGGTTCAGCCATCTGTCAAGCAAGCCATCTATGAGATAAAGAGAAATGGTTCAGGTACATGGCTAAGGTGTTAGATGAGACAGCAAAAAGCTAAAGCTAAAACAACAGCACCTGACAAGCAGCGGCATAAAGTAAACGGTGCAAACAAGACTAAATGATTCAGCTTTTAGAGGAAAATGCAGAAAACAGATAAAAGAACTTAAAATGCAGAAATGATTTTGGGAAAAGGGTTTATGACCATTTTCCACAAATGTATTTATAGGTGAGAAATATTTAACAGTATCTCCATGTTTTCACAATCCAGCGATTGCAGAAACTCATGTAAAATAAACAGATCCTTGCATTTTTTCTCAATAATGCATAATCGCAAGCTTATTGCTACTTTTCTACAAAAATGCTAGAAAATATTTTGTTTTCGTGACACTAACTCCCACATGAACATGGCAGCATTTCTTCATGTCATTTTGTAGTCCGAGATCAAAATGGAGAGCAGCAGAAATGTAGCTATTTAAGTTCTTTAAAGAATAAAAGTGTTTGTGTGCAATCTCTCTGCTTCTTTGTTCTCTGATCTTGTTTTTTAATACGTAGATTTGGAAGGGGTTTAAAAAGGAAGAAATATTGGAAAATGCCTTGCAAATATTTCTAACCTATCACTGTAAAATACATTTTGCAATCAAAATTAGTGCTTTTGATTGCAAAATGAAAATCACAAAAACAATTGCAAAAGTTGCAAATTTTCATCCCATCAAATTCAGTCTTTAAAGTAAATCTGCAGCATGACTTGAGCTGCATCTGAATTAATCAGATGCAACTGAAACTATATCAGGATAAGTTTAGAAACTATCCTGTGGATAAAGGGAACTGAATTCAAAACCAACTCAAGTACCTTCTCCAATTGTGAAGCATGGTGGTGGAGTAGTAGTGCAATCACTCAAGAACTGCATATCGAAGTATTCTAGAGTCAAACATGAGGCGGTCTGTGTGACAGATGCAGTTTGGCCCAACCAACCCGTATCAATATTGGGACAACAGTCTCTGAGAGAGCAGAACATTTATAAAAGAATGGCTAAAAAGCTTAAAGGTACTGCAAGTCTAGACCTAAACCTGCTGTTATTTCTTCTACCAAGACTTGACAGAATGATAAAGAAATACAGAACATGACAACTGAGAGGTTTTACTGCTAAACGTTGTTCTAAACTGTTGTCTTACGAAGCTTAATGTGAAAATAAAAGACGACTCAGATGAAGTCCAGACAGCTAGATTCAACAAGTGCTTCATTCTTCAGGCTTTCACAGGTAACAACATGTAAATGTGTTTATTTTTCTCCAGTAATTTATGACCAAAAGTGAAGCTTACAGAGTGAGAGAGCAAGAAAAACAACACATCTGCTCCAAGAACTGGGAGCAAAAATTCAACAACAAACGTTTATTACTTTGAGTCTCCTGGGAACCAATTTATTTTTCATGAATACCTCATAAAACCAGGGACTCAAAATGAAAGAGGTCATTTTAGAACTTCTGTTTCTCTCAGTAAGGGGCAACCAGGAGAAGCAAAATGATTTATTATAACTCTGGATCGAGTAAAAACCTACTGATCTTCTCATACGTAACTAAAAATGCAAAAATAATCCTTGATTTAACTAGTAAATCTTCCAGTTTGTGTGATAAGTTATATTCTGACTTATCAGATTTAATGTTAGTTGGATAATCTGCAGTGTCCTTACATCATTTAACTCGTTGATGCAGTGCACAAACATGCATTGCTGGATCATGTTTCATGCCTGCAGCAACACACCCACAGCAGCGCAGACCTCCACAGGTTCTGATCCGCAGAGCTGTTTTCTATCCAGCCTCAATTTAAAAAGAACAGGATCAGACTTCAGGCAAAACCATGACTCACTGAAGACTGACTTTTAGGCAGCCAATCAGCAGCAAGCGGGAGCATCTCTATTTGTGTTTCTAATGAGAGTCATGGTTCAGCTATGCACCAGCTGTGTGGAAATCCTACACTTTACTCCAGCCACACCTCCTGCTCAAAAACTGAGAGCGAGAGGAAAGGAGGAGACAAGAAAAAATATAAGCTGAAACAAAAATCTCCTCTTCCCAGCATGGTGACGGCAGAACAAGCTGCTTACGCCTGGTTCACACGGATTTTAAAACTGTCTGGCAATTTTCAAAACCTAAGAGATCAAACACAACAATAAAAAAATGTAACTGGTTCGTGTGGTGTTGAGTTACACAAATCGATTTCCTTCACCAACAGTCAGACGGGAACTCTCTCAAAACCTCTCGAGACTCAAAGTGAGTTCAGGGTAAACAAACATGGCCGACTGGGAAGAAGCAATGGCGACAGTTTTTCTCTATCTTTAACAGAGAAATAACGTTACAAAGGTGTCTACAACGTTCACTGGACTTTCTGGGCCTTCATGACAGTTATATGGTCTTTTTTATTTAGAATTTCCCTCCATGTTTCCTTCGCCTCGCTTTCTGATTGGCTAAAGATCACATTCAGCTGGCTGCGTTCTCGTTTGTCCTCAGGAATAAAACACACTGCAATATCAGGCAAAGCCTATCCAACATGTTGATTTTTCCCTATTTTAGACAAGAGTGGTACAGATGTCATTCCAAGTGGATTGGATCTCAACACACAGCATAAATTAAGATTACCTTAATCCCAATAATTTGGGGTGTTCTTATGATTGTCAGACGGGAATAACGGGACAAAAATCAAGCAGCCTTTCACACTCCAGCTGCAAAAGTCCGTGAAACTTACATAAGTATATCTTAATGAAAACATGGTTTCAGTACTTTGCAAAAGTATTCAAACCCTTTGAACTTTGCTGCATTCC